TGAGCCTGTTCCTCCCCATCCAGATCCGCACAGCCTCCAGACATCAGGACATCACGTCGAGGGCATCGTTTGGGTGGCTTGGGGAAGAGATAAAAAGTTGGGTATCATCAGCATATTGATGATACCATACCCCAAAGTCACGGATGATCTCGCCCGGCGGTTTCATATATATGTTGAACAGGGGGGGTGAGAGAACCGACCCCTGAGGCACCCCACAAGTGACGCACCTCGAGGTCGATCCCTGTCCTCCAGTCAACACGAACTGTGACCGATCCGACAGGTAGGAGGAGAACCACTGTAAAACGGTGCCTCCCAATCCCCCGAGTCGTCGCAGTAGGATACCATGGTCGATGGTATCGAAAGCCGCCGATCGGTCTCATAGGACCAGGACAGAGGAGCAGCCCCTGTCCCGGGCCCACCACAGATCATCGACCAACACGACCAATGCCATCTTCGTGCTGTACCTGGGCCTGAAACCCGACTGAAATGGATCCAGGTAGGCAGCTTCATCCAGGTACTGGGGAAACTGACATGCTACCACACTCTTGACAACCTTTGCTACAAAGCAAAGGTTGGAGACTGGACGATAGTTGGCTAAAGAAGCTGGGTCCAGGGAAGGGTTCTTAAGGAGGGGCCTCACCACCACCTTCTTCAAGGCAGTGGGAAAGAACCTCTCTCAATGAAGCATTGGTAATCGCCTGGAGCCAGCCTCGTGTCACCTCCTAGGAAGCCGAAACTAACCGAGAGGGTCACGGGTCCAGCACACAAGTGGCAGCACTCATAATCCTGTCCATGCCCTCGGGGGTCACAGGGTCAAACTGATCCCAGATAGTCTCCACAAGATTCATCCCCGTTGACTCGCCCAGATCTACCCAGTCAGAGTCCGAGCCTATCCGGATCTGAGCAATTTTATCCTGCAGATACTGAACAAATTCTTCAGCTCTACCCTGCAAGGGGTCTTTCCTTGGTTAAGTAAGGAACGGATCACCCTAAACAGGGTGGCTGGGCAGTTATCTGCGGACGCGATAAGAGCGTAAAAATGTTGCCGTTTCACCGCTTTCATCACCACTAAGTAGGATTTATTATGAATTCTTACTAGTGTTCGATCAGATTCGGACCGGCTGGCCCTCCAACCACTCTCTAGACGTCTTTTCCTGCGTTTCTTCTCCCAGAGCTCCTCGGTGAACCAGGGAGCTACCTGGGATCAACACTGGGTCAGAGGCTGCAAAGGCACAATACGATCCAAGGCCCCAGTGGCCGCCCTATCCCAGGCTCCCACTAAGGCTTTGGTCGAGCTGTGAGCAAGCGATTCAGGAAAAGTCCCAACCTCCATCAGGAACCTTTCAGGGTACATCAGGCGCCTGGGGTGGAACCATCTAGTCAGCTCCACCTCCCTGCAGTGAGGGGTAGCAGTATGGAAGTCAAGCCTGATGAGGAAATGATCAGACCAT